GCATGTACCTTGGTTGCGGGCATATCCCCACTGGGGGGTGTGCAGGAGGCAGCTGATCGATGTTTCTCTCTCATCAATGTTTCTAACTCTCTATCCCTCTCCCTTCCTTGCTGTAAAAATTCAATAAAATATATATTTTTTTAAAAAGTAAAACTGACAATAATTAAAAAAAGAAAGAAAATCATGAATTGGCTGCCTCCTGCACGCCCCTATTGGGGGTCAAGTCTGAAATCCGGGCATGTGCTGTGACCAGGAATTGAACCGTGACCTCCTGGTTCACAGATTGATGATCCTCAACCACTGAGACACACCAGCCGGGTCCTCCTTCCTTTTCTAAACTCCATTTCTAGAGCCAAGTACACTCTCCTAATTGGAGAGATCTTTTTAATCAGAGCTGTAAAGTGCTAGACACTCTCCTTACTACTGCCTTGTGACGGTGTGTATTGGCACAGGCAGGAAAGTGCGTGGGGAAGGCCAGGAAGGAAGAGAGAGCTGGATGTGGTAGTGGCAGCTTTGTCCCATCTCACTCCTTCTCCGGAAAGATTTCAGGTGATCTTTTGTACACATGATCAAAAGATATGTCTCTTTGTGGTTTTAATAACAATGATTTTAAAATATAATTCCTGTTTTCCTAGAAATTTACATTAAACTCAACAAATACAAAACTGAGACTTAATGATTGCCTGGGAAACATGGAAGACGGCCAGTGATAGAAACAGCTCTGAGCAATTTGACCATCATGAGCAGAAGGGCTCAGTTGGAACAAAGTTCCACATCCATCCAGCCCAACCTCATCCATGATGCCTCCTACGCTACAACAATGCACGTGGAAATGGCTTCCAATGTTCAGAACTTTGAAAGTGCAGTGAGCATTGCCACTTTAGGTCAAAGACTATGGTGGGAAACTTAGTGTGTGTGGACAAGTGACAGTGTGTGGCTGAATGCAGCAGCAGAGTGGAAAGGGCTATAGAAAAAAGGGCATAAGGATAAACTGGAGCTGCAGAGTCTGGGTTCCAGGGGTCCCAGAGTGCAGGAGAAGAGAAAGTGCGAGGATCTGCACCAATTTCCCAGAGCTTAAGACTGTAGAAAAATATTTTTGACAGTCCTGGAAGCAAAAGGTCTAAAATCACATTGTGGGCAGTGTCATGCTCTATCTACCTAGAAGTCTAGAGGGATAAGTCTTACCCCTTGCTTCTGCCCCGTGGATATCAGCACCTTTGGCTCTCTGTGGCCTATACGTTCATCACTCTATCTGCTTTCATCATCAAAGGTGTTCTCTGTATCTGTGGGTCCAACTTCCCTTTTCTTTGAGGAACCCCAGACATTGTGTTAGGTCTCACTCTAGTCCAGTCTGACCTCATTTTAACCTGATTACATCTGCAAAGACCCAATTCCCAAATAATACTACATGTACAGGTACTGAATTCAGGCTTTGAATGTGCATGTGAGTCACACAATTCACCATTCAAAAGGACTGCAAGGTACAAGATAAAGTAACTGAAGGCTGAATGTACATTACAGGGTGCAAGAGTACAAAAAAGTGAACAAGGAAATGAAGTCTACATGTTGCAGGATAAGGGATTAAGGAAGTCACAGGAATCCTATATAATAAAAGGCCAGGGACCATAAGCGTAATGACCGGAACAACCACTTGACCAGTCGCCAAGAACAGTGACCACCTCTTAGTTTTTCCCCCCATCCCCACCCCGCAGGCTCGATCTCAGCATGGCGAATAAGGAACCAGGGCAAATGGGGTGGGGTGGGGGTGGTGGCAGCAGGGCAGGACTGGTGAGTGGCGGCAGGGGGCAGCGAGCTGCGTGGGGCGGCGGACATGGCCCTGATCACAGGCTATGCCTAGGGATCCTACACATGCACGATTTCGTGTGCTGGAGATTGGGGGTAACCGGTAAAGGGGGGTACAAGGCAAAGATGGGGAAAATATTCAGAAAATTTAATGCCTATGAAGGTTTAGAGAACACAGAGGTTGAAGGTGGAGAGTGGGTTGTAAATGGAGTCCTGGGGACACTTACTGTTCCAGACAGACCTAATGAGCAGGTCATAATGGACACAAAGAGATGAAGAGGGCGGAGGACAATGAAGGGAGCCAAGGAGGATAGTGCGTACCATGGGCATAACAGGCCCAGGAGAAAATCAGAGATTTTAGAAATTGGGGCAATGACTTCAGAGTTATGAGGAGGCTGTGGACAACTGACAACATAATGAGTGCATCTGAGGATGGGAGAATCTCAAAGAGTTATAAGATAGGGGAGAAATTCAATGTGATGTAATAGAAGATAATTCACATTATAAATCTGTAAGGTTTCTAGTTTGTTAGAAAATTATAATATATTTCTAAATTACCCATTTTAATACATTATTTACCTTTTCTTCTGAAGATATGAGTATATATATACATAAACGTCCTCCTCATTATTCCTCTTACTCCTAAATTATATTTTTGTTACTATATTTACATATTGCATTCAGTATAAAGCAAAACCAAGTATATCTATTTGTTATGTAGTCTCAGAAAAAGGACATGGGATATGTATACATATGTATATTATATACTAGAGGCCCGGTGCACGAGATTCATACACTCGAGGCAGGGGGGTCCCTCAGCCTGGCCTGTGCCCTTTCGCAATCTGGGAGCCCTCGGGGGGATGTCCAACTGACAGCTTAGGCCCGCTCCCCAGGGACATCCTTAGAGCTGCCGTGGAAGCGGGAGAGGCTCCCGCCACCGCCGCTGCACCCACCAGCAGCGAGCCTGGCTTCTGGGCTTCTGGGTGAGCGGTGCTCCCCCTGTGGAGCACACTGACCACCATGGGCAGCTCCTGAGTTGAGCGTCTGGCCCTTGGTGGTCAGTGCGTGTCACAGAGATGGGTCGTTCCACCGTCCATCGATTTGCATATTACCCTTTTATTATATAGGATATGATAAAATATTATGAAGATGCAGAAATACAAAAATAGGGCTTCTAACCATACTTTTTAAGATTTTGTTAAGTTAGCATTTGTAAGGAAAGCCCACTGGTACTGGATGGTGTCCAGCAGTTACTCAAAATTCTACAGAAAAATTGGAAATAAAAGTTTATAACTCACAAGCATGGATGAAGTATACAGCATGCCTGCAGGGGCTAACACAGGCAGGACAAGACAGGATGCAGGAAGAGAGTGGCAGTACACACAGTGTAGGTCTGTATTAGGATCACTATGTGGAGTGCCATGGAGTTCTTGAGCTAGGTCCAGATTATTCAACTCAAAGCATAATCAGCAAGGTTTGGCTAGCTCTTCAGAAACCTTACATAAGGAGCATACAAATTGAAGGCCCTGGGGTGCACAAAAGACTACTGTTCACAAGGACTGCTAGAGAAGTCCTATAAAAACTTACATTCACTTGTGACACTGTAAGCTGGTATCTGTATGCACTAGGGATTCATGGGAGTTCGGTTCTTTACTTAACTACACAAAATAAATGATAATGCTGAAACACCACAGACTTTTACATAAACCCACAATACTCCCACTACATATTTTTTTTGTAACCATCATAATTTCCCAGCAGGTACAATGAATAAAAAAATAAATTATGGGTAAACTCTTCACACATTATTTAAGGTTAAAGGCCTGTGAGTAAATGTCACTCCACTGCATTACAAATTGTTACCCACAATGGTGAATAAGGTGGGAAACATTAAGACTGATGGCATGTCAACACCTCATTTATTACACATCACTGTTAACATATTTCAATTACTTCATCTTTATTAATGAACATATTAAGTCCACACATAGTCTAAACAAAGTATTACAAGCACAATGTATTGCCTAGGGTTGAAATACACATTACAAGCATTCAAAGATCATGAAATGAATTGAGATATAAATCACATGAATACTTTTGTTTTAAAAAGCCACAAAATTTTATAACTTTTGTAACAAAAAAGGATTCAGTGGATACAATTACATTTGTCCTAATATTCACCCCCTTGGTATTTTGATTTATACTAAAAAATCATGTAACTTTCCTTACTAGATTCTCTAAAATAAGTATTCTGATTTAAAGTCATATTTGAAAAGTGTTACTGACTTACTACTTTCTACTGTGAATTCTCTGATATTGTACATTTAATTTTATTAAAGTCAATTTCAAGCACAAATGCTGTGGGGTTTTCTGAAGTATGTATTGTGAGGAAATATTTTTTATCATTTATTTCAAAGATAGAATTTCTCATGAGTATGCATTCTCTGATATGCAGAAAGATTGTAGGTTCAGGTATAGGGTTTGCACATTCTTTAACATTTTAAGTTTTTCTCCAGTAAGAATACTCATGTGGCAGTTATGATGTACCTATAAATGCTGAAAACAATCTTTGCTGAACTTTTTATATTTGCATGGCTTCTCTCCACTATAAATTCTCTAAAGCAGCGGTCGCCAACCGGTAGTCCACGGACCACTGGTGGTCCATGAGGTCTGAAAGGTTGGCAACCACGGCTCTAAAGTACATTGAGGCTTGAGCAATGGTAAAAGGTTTTGCCACATTGTTTATATTTGTATTCTTTCAGTAAAGCATAAATTATGTGATATTGATTAAGGTTTCAACACTGGGTAAAGGTGTTATCAAATTCTCTGCATTGTAAGGCTTCTCTCTAGTATGATATTTAGTGAGGTTTGGGCAATGGTTGGAATTTTTTCCATATTCTTTATATTTATACTAGAGGTCTGGTGCACAAAACTTGTGCACTGGAGTGGGGGGGGTCCTTAAGCCCAGCCGGTGCCCTCTAACATTCCGTGACCCCTTGGGGAATGTCCGCCTGCTGGCTTAGGCCTGCTCCACGCGGGGAACAGGCCTAAGCCAGCAGTCGGATATCCATCTCGCAGTCCAGGACCCCTCACTGCTTACCACCTGCCTGCTCGCTGCTCCTTACCACTTGGCTCGCTGCTCCTCAACGCTGCTGCGGAGGCAGGAGAGGCTACCACCACCGCCACTGCGCTTGCAAGCCATGAGCCTGGCTTCTGGCTGAGGAGTGCTCCCCCTGTAGGAGTGCACTGACCACCAGAGGGCAACTCCTATGTTGAGCATCTGCCCCGTGGTGGTCAGTGAGCATCATAGCAGCCAGTCATTCTGGATGTTCTGCTGTAAAGGTTGCTTAGGCTTTTATTATATAGATTGCTTCTATTCTCTATAAATTTCCGAATATTTAGTACAGCTATAGCAAGGTTAAAGGCTTTGTCATACTCTTCACATTTGTAAAGCTTCTCTCAGGTATGCATTCTCATATATTTGGTAAGATTTGAGCAATGGGTAAAGGCTTTGCCACATTCTGTGTTTGTAAGGCTTCTCTATAGCTGAGTCCTCTGATGCTATAAAGGTTTGAACATGATGTGAAGGCACTGTGATTATCTCCACATTTATAAGGGTTTCTGTCCTGTGTGAATTCTCTGATGTTTGGAAAACGCTGAATACCAGCTAAAGACTTTGCCACATTCTGTACATTTATAGGGTTTCAATCCAGAATGAATATTCTGATGTTGAATAAGATGTGAGCCCCGGGTAAAGGCTTTGCCACATTCTCTACATTTATAGGGCTTTTCCCCACAATGAATTTTCTGATGTTTAGCAAGTTGTGAGCTCTCGATAAAGGCTTTGCCACATTCTCTACATATATAAGGCTTCTCGCCAGAATGAATTCTCTGATGTTGAGTAAGATTTGAGTTCCGGGTAAAGGTTTTGCCACATTCTCTACATTCATAAGGCTTCTCTCCAGTATGCATTCTTTGATGTTTGGAAAAGGCTGAATACCAGCGAAAGGCTTTGCCACATTCTCCACATTTATATGGCGTCTCTCCAGAATGAATATTCTGATGTTGAGTAAGATGTGAGCCCCGGGTAAAGGCTTTGCCACATTCTCCACATTTATATGGCTTCTCTCCAGAATGAATTTTCTGATGTTTAGCAAGTTGTGAGCCCTGGGTAAAGGCTTTGCCACATTCTCTACATGTATAAGGCTTCTCTCCAGAATGAATCCTCTGATGTTGAGTAAGATTTGAGCTCCGGATAAAGGTTTTACCACATTCTCTACATTTATAAGGCTTTAGTCCAGTATGAATTCTCTGATGATGGCTAAGGTTTGAACAGTGGCTAAAAGCTTTGCCACATTCAGTACATTTATAAGGCTTCTCTCCAGAATGAATGATCTGATGCCGAGTAAGATGTGAGCTCTGGATAAAAGTTTTGCCACATTCTCTGCATTTATAAGGCTTCTCTCCAGAATGAATGATCTGATGCCGAGTAAGATGTGAGCTCTGGATAAAAGCTTTGCCACATTCTCCACATTTATAAGGCTTCTCTCCAGTATGAATTCTCTGATGTAAAATAACATTTGCCTGCCACTTAAAGGCTTTATCACATTCTTTGCATTTGTAAGGCTTCTCTGCAGTATGGATTTCCTTATGTCTATTTAACTTAGAGGACTGACTAAACACTTTCAGGTAGTGATTACACGGGAGAGACTCCTCCTCAATATGAGTACTTTTATGTTCAGTAAGATTTGATGATTGGTTGGAAGACTTGGCACATTCACTAAAACTTTCTGTCTTCTCTACAGTATGAATACTCTGAGGTATCAAAATATTTGACCTTCTTTCAAAGACTTTAGGCCATTTATACTTGTTCTGTGGAAGCTGAGCTCTTTGATGGTTATTAGATTTTGACCCTTGGTTAAAGTTTTTCTGAGATTCATTGCATTGGTGACTTCTCTCTTCATTATATGTACTCTAATAATAATTTAAGAGAGAAAAACTTTTAGTGAGGACTCTAATATCATTGCACATGTACAACTGTTCTCAATTACCTATTCTGATACCATGATGGTTGTATCTATATATATATATATCCTCCCACAGTTATGAAAATTATAGACTCTGGAAAAAGAAATATTTTCCCATGAAACAATAATACAAAATTGGTTAAGGGGTTTACAAATTCATGTATAACTTGTATCTTCATTTTTAAAATATCTCAGTTTTAGAAATATTTGACTGTTTAATCATATGCTACATTAAATCACTCAAAAATTATTTGCACAATGGACTAGGTGACTTTTCTGATATTAGAAATTTTACTTCAGAGAATATGTATTCATTTATTTATATTAATTTTTACATGAGGACATGTTTATTGATTTTTAGAGAGAAAGAAAGGGGGGTGGGATAGAGAGAGATAAAGAGAAATTGATGTGAGAGGGAAATATGGATCAATTACCTCCTGCCTACACCCAGACCAGAGATTGAACCCTAAATCTACATGTGTCCCAACTAGCATTGAACCCACAACATTTCAGGGTGACACTTCAACCAACTGAGCCACAGCAGCCAGAGCAGAGAATATATACTTTTAAAATTTTTTCTTTATTTTTTATTTTTGTTCAGAAACACATTGTTCTGCCAATGTAACTAATGTCAAGTAGAGGGTAACTGCCCCACCCTGGCCATATCCATTATGTCTAACAATATTTTTTTTCTCTTAATAGTCCCCTGCACATTACAAAACTTTCATTCAGTGTAAATTCTCAATGCCACATCTGCTATATCTTACCTGTAACATTTTCTGGAATGACACTTCTACACCTGACTTTGGCAACAAACCCTGGGAGACTTGAGAAGATATAGCTGAAATATAACAAAGTAATTATAAAATACACACAGGTAAATATTCTTTAAATTTTAATGTACAGAATTAATACCTGTAAGAAGACTTCAGTGAGACAGAAGAACAGGAAGCACAAAAACTTTCTTCCTCCATGGAAATGTTAACTTACCAACAATTACCGACCTAATTATCTTCTAAAGTACTTCAGAAGCCAGTTCAAAGACCACAATACCCACCAGAAAGCGCAAAATAAAAAAGTCACATCAAAGAGGGAAACAAGTTACCTACATTTGCCCACAATACCTGCTCACTCTTTCTGACACAGGAATGGGAAAATATCATGGGCTCTAAATAAAAACAAAATATGTTTTAAACAGGGAAGTTACACAAAACTCACACACGCAGGCTTCTGGTCAAGATGGAGGTGTAGGTAATTGTGGCACTGGCAACCTCCCACAACCACATAAAAAATACAACTAAACTACAGGGAAACCATCTTTCAGAACTGACTGAAACCTAACTGAATGAAGTTGTAAAACTAAGGACATAAAGAAGGCTTATCCAGACTGGTAGGAGGTGCAACGTCACAGAATGGACTGGGCTCACATGGTGGATAAAAATCACCAGTGACATATCGGCTTCAGAGGTCGCATCTGAGGAGTGAAGGGTCACAGCCCCACAGAAGGCCCTCCAGCCCAGGGTTCCAATGCCAAGAAGAGATGTTCCCATTACTCTGGCTGTAAAAACTAGCAAGGATTGTGGTTGAGTGAGACAGAGAGCTGATGGAGTCCTAGGCAATTCCTCTTAAAGGGCTCATGCTCTGACTTATTCAGATTCGTGCCCTGTGAGCTCCAGTGCTGTGGCAGCAGCTTGAATGGTACCAGGGACATACAGGTTGGACCTGAAGGATGAGAGCTGTAGAAGGAGCTTTCTCCCAGGCATAAGTCTTGCTAGAAGCCATTGTTCCTTTTCTGAGCCTTTCACCCACATAGCTGGCAAACAGGAGCCACAGCTGAGTCTCCATCAATTTGGCTCACACTTTTCACCACACCCTGAAGATTTCCTGACACCACACCCCATCAACATGTGGGACCACCAAAGCTGTTTCCACTGGCTTTTCCATACAAACAGCATAAATTGGCTTATGCTTCAGTCTTTACAACAATGTCTCAAACAAGCAGGATCTGGCCCCAGTGTACCCCCCATAACTCTGGCTATGTGGCCCCAGCATGGAAACTACGTAATTTCTAATTATTGGGATGTACACCTGAAACTAATATAATATTACATTGGCAACTACAATTGAAAAAATTTTTTAAATGAGTTAAACACACGCACATACACACACACACACACCAATTACACTTTCCAGAATAGGTGTGACAGGCCTTTAAAAACCTACCACAGCTGATAGTTATTTTTGTTCTCCTGTACAAAGAAAGTTTATAAAGAATGGGATCGCAACAAAAGATCACAAGGCTTATGAAGAAACAGAAAAACAATCCAACCAGAGGGACAAAATAAATCTCCATAAGTTGGCCCTAATAAACATATGTTAATTACCTGACAAAGATAAGAAAAAAAAACTTTAAAAGGGCTCAATTGAAAAAAACGTAAAAAACTATTGCCATCAAAATTAGGCATGACAATAATAAAAATGCAAGCAGACAGAAAGTATAAGAAAGAACCAAACAGATATTGGGAACTGAAGAATATAGTTAGTACGTGAATTGAAATATACAATAGAAACATCAGCAAAAGACTTGATCAAGCAAAAGGAAGGAGAAGACAACTTGGACACCTACCCACAGTGTTCCTGGGATGTGGGAACCAAATTCCAGTATCTCAACCACTTCCCTCCCAAATTACTCAGACGCAGAAAACAGAACTTTAAAACTAGTTTAACTTAAAATTCCTCAGCAACGTGCACAGACTTCCCCAAGTTCACCAAGAAATCCAATAGTAGCCAGGTCATGCCACCCTTACATTGTTACAGGACTTTGCCTCTCACTGCAAATGTGATGGAAGCAGAAAGAGAATCCTTAGATGATGATGGAGAGGATCTGTCCCTCGAAGCCAGAAACAGAAATAATCGTGACCCTCTCGAAAATCAGTTCCATTGAAGCAGATGTTTCCAAACCATTATATAATATCTGATCTTCGGCCTCTCACCTGGATCATCTGTTTCCTTGATTCCCACCTACCTGGCTGGATGGGTATTGTCTTTTTTCTCTTCAACTCCCAGGGCTCTTTCATGTGCTCCAAAAAGGTGAGTAGGTCTGGCTTAGACACACCTGTTTATTAGAAAAAGGAACATGGGCCATAGCCAGTTTGGCTCATTGTGAAGAGTCTCATCCTGTGGACTGAAGGGTCCCTGGTTTGATTCTGGTCAAGGGCACATGCCTGGGATGCAGGCTCGATCCCCAGTAAGGGATGTGGAGGAGGCAGCCAATCAATGATTCTCTCTTATCACTGATATTTCTACCTCTCTCTCCCTCTCCCTTCCTCTCTGAAATCAAATAAAAATATATTAAAAACAACAACCAAAAACTTATAAAAAAAGAAAAAGAAAAAGGAACATGGGTTCAATGGAGAATCTCCAATTTCCAATCCAGCCCTGTGCTCAAGTAAGATAGGACATTGTAGAATACCAGAATATCCTAAAAAATTATTTTCCAAAATATTATTTTCTGACAGAACCTTTAACTATACTGGAGACAACATTTAAAGTTTTCAAATCTTGAGTTCCACTTCCAAATACATCAGGAAGCCTTTCTGTTCTGCACCAGCAAAACCCCAATTGCTTTCCTTAATAACACGGACCTGAAACTCTATCATAAAAAGCAGAAGCTACAAGCAGACACTGTGCTAATGAAGAAAACAAAACCCTGCGGGTGGAGGAGAAATTCTGGAAGGAAGTGGTCCTCACCCAGGAATACCAGGTTCCTGTAGTTCTGCAACATCACATCCATGTACAGTTTCCGCTGAGCTGGGTCCAGGCACGCCCACTCCTCCTGAGAGAATTCTATGGCCACATCACTGAAGGTCAACTGCCCCTGAAATTAAAAGGAAATTAAAAGAAAAGCATTATTCAATTGACCATGGGCAGAGGTCATAAGGTCACCCAAAATGAAAAGTTAATAGAACCAGTTTAGACTTAGGACAGTATCCTGAGTTATCCAACAGCATCACTTTGACATTAATATTCTCTAATGTATTTTTAGAAAGGAAGATGGCATATGATCCACCAAACCACAGGAGAAGTTTTACTTTTCTGAAAGATAAATTTTAAAAATACAGGCATCAACACAAGCATATCCATTTTTGAGTGCTATGTTTGAATCACAGAGGATCAAGTGTATATATTTCTTAGCTGGAGAAGTCATTCTGAGTGAGCACAGTGTAGCACTTTTAAAATTTTAATGAGCTTCTTTTCCAAGGAATAGGAGGTCTCTGGGGTTTCCATGGAGGATTTGGCAGCGGCATCCGGGGCCGGGGGGTGGCCGCCGGGATCAGGGCAGGGGCTGAAACCGCGTAGCTCATGGAGGCAAGGCCGAGGGCAAGGAGTGGATCCCTGTCACCAAGGTGGCCGCTTGGTCAAGGACATGAAGATCAAATCCCTAGAGGAAATCTATCTATTCTCCTTGCCCATCAAGGAATCTGAGATCATAGACTTTTTCTTGGGGACATCCCTCAAGGATGAGGTCTTGAAGATTATGCCTGAGCAAAAGCAGACACGTGCTAGCCAGAGGACCCAGTTCAAGGCATTTGTCGCCATTGGACATTTTGGTCTGTGTGTTAAGTGTTCAAAGGAAATAGCCACTGCCATCCGTGGAGCCATTATCCTGGCCAATCTCTCTATTGTGCCCATGCAGCAAGGCTACAGGGGAAACAAGATTGGCAAGACCCACACCACTGTTCCTTGCAAGGTGACTGGCCGCTGTGGCTCTTTACTGGTGCGCCTCATCCCTGCCTCCAGGAGTACGGGCATTGTCTTGGCGCCTGTGCCTAAGAAGATGCTGATGATGGCTGGTACTGACAACTGCTATACCTCAGCCAGGGGCTGCACTGCCACCCTGGGCAACTTCGCCAAGGCCAACTCTGATGCCATCTCTAAGACCTACAGCTATCTCACCGCAGATCTCAGGAAAGAGACTGTGTTCACCAAGTCTTCCTTTCAGGAATTCACTGACCATCTTGTAAAGACCCCCACCAGAGTTTCTGTGCAGAGGACCCAGGCTCCAGCTGTGGCCACCACATAATTTTATACCAGACAAATAAAGTGAATTAAGCCTGCTAACAAATAAATGAACAAATAAACAAACTAATAAATAAAATTTTAATGAGTTCTGGGTGGGGCCTGAATTTCCATATGTTTAACCAGCTCACTTATAACTCTGGATGCCAATGTGCTGGTATATGTGCCATACCTTTGGATACCACAGAAGAAGAAAACACAGGAAAAAATTCATATACAAGATTTTGACTGAATAATTTTTTTTTTAAATATATTTTATTGATTTTTTACAGAGAAGAAGGGAGAGGGATAGAGAGTTAGAAACATCGATGAGAGAGATCGATCAGCTGCCTCCTGCACGCCCCCCAGTGGGGATGTGCCTGCAACCAAGGTACATGCCCTTGTCTGGAATCGAACCTGGGACCCCTCAGTCCACAGGCCAACGCTCTATCCACTGAGCCAAACCGGTTCGGCAGTGACTGAACAATTTTATGGGCTTTACAGGTCTCATAGATTAGTAAGCCCATCAACCACAGTTGTTTTAACATTTATATATTAATTAATAAATCTCAAAAGTATTCAAAGAATAATAACATTATTGTTCATTTTTTAAAAAATGTTTTTATTGATTTTTAGAGAGAGAGAAAGGGGGAAGGACAAAGAAACAGAAATGTCGATGGGATAGAAACATCAATGAGCAGACTCCTGCATGCCCCCTACCAAGGATTGAGCCCTGAACCCGGGCATGTGCCCTAACAGGGAATTGAACCAGTGATTTCTCAGTGCATGGGTCAACGCTCAACCAAGTGAGCCATGGATATTCACCCTTTTTAAGGAAAATATTTTGTAAAATATCCATAAAATGGTAGAGCCTGGGTGTTATTTCAAACTTTACCTCGAATTTGTCAAAAAGATCACAGACCAGTACACAGACACAACCCTCATGAAAATACACAGCTATTGTAACTGTAAAGAATAGAAACAAGAAGGTAAGAAGAAAGAAGAGGTAAAATAATGTTAACATTTTCTGCAAAGAGGCAGACATAAAAATGGAAACTATGTACACATTATATGCACACAAAATAAAATGTTCATGTCAATAAAATTACCTGAAATAAAATCAACATTAATGTCAATGTCATAAATGTCACAAATCTCTTTGTGAAAGATTGTCTTTGTATTTTATAAACACAAAAGGGAGGTAAACACACCATGATAAAAAATATTAGCATTGCCGAAACCGGTTTGGCTCAGTGGATAGAGACGGCCTACGGACTCTTAGCCTTTTATTTATTTGATAAAAGTTATTTTTGGTGCTGATCTGTAGTTTATAAATTTAACACACTTGAACATCCATTACTATGATGCTTGTAAACATTTTTGAAAATACAAAGCAGTGATAAAGAAGAGTGTATCTGTGACAAGTTGGTGAAATACAATAAAAATGTACAGGTCTGGGGCAAAGCAAGTATCTCCAGTGAACAACAACAACAAAGCAACCTACAAATAAAGCAAAACTGAAAAGCAATGAAAGTTTCCAGAAGAAATGTGATCATTTATGCACAACTCTCAAAAAACTTTTGACACCCTTATTTAGAAAAAACAAAAATTAACTCTATATTTCAGGAATTGGGCAGAGAACACCTGCACCAAGTGAAAATCAGGTGCAAAGGAAGGGACATCAAGTGACAGAAGGACACATCATCACTAACACCAATTTTATACAAAACTCATTCCACAAATACCTCCTATACTGTATAAATCTTAAAGTGCATTTAAAGAATAAGGCATCCATGCCAATGTAGAGAGCAAGTCACCGCTAACGAGTTTTCTTTTTCCGAACTTTCTGATCTAATCCCGGCCACTAAGGCCATCCTGGTTAAAGGTGCTTTGTCTCAATCCTGTTCTGCAGAGCAGATGTTGCAGCCATACGAAATCTGAAACCTGCATGTCCCTTCTGCAAACACCATCTCAATAGCGAACTCGGGTATCAATGCCTTCCCGTGTTGAACTGTGGCAAAGAAAATGTTTTGAAAAGTTGAAGATAGGGGTTCAGAACAAGGCACCTTAAGATGTGCTTCAATGGTACGTGCATTATGTTGAGCTGAAGGCATCAAGACCTTTGGGTTCAAGAGAAACTTCTGCTCTCCCCCTGAACTACCTAGAAGAATTTAAATGATGAGCCTGACTTGTGATCTATGTTAAACCAAAAATGACATTTGAACTACCTAGATGGTAAGGAAACTAGTATTTCCTGAACATGTGATTTCCTGGCAGCAATATTCTAAAGTCCCAAGGTGCATTACCTCATCCCAGGCTCAGAATGTCTTATATGCTAAATTTCATTTTCAATCTCTGAACCTCTCTTTCATGTGGGGTCTCTGACTCTGTCATGTGTGTGCAGCTCCCATACATATCCCCTCTTTCTGATTAGGCCAGCTGAGAGAACCTTGAAAGTAGAAGAAAGTATCTTCCTCCCACACAATGGTCATTAATTTATGGTGAGATTCCTATGGGGGACTTGGATGGACACAACAGACAGAAAGCTGTGGACAAAACGCAGAGGTAGCTGACTTTATCTCCCTCCTAAAGGCCTGCTTCCTTGCAGATATTGAAGGCTTAACTGCTACATGACCTTCCTGGGGTGGCTCTAGTGAACTACACTGCCATCTCTCCCCCACAGCGCAGGCGCTAACAACCAGATAACCCCACTGGGAAAGGAAGTAACTGCACCCTGAAATGGAAATCTCCACCAGCAGGCCTTTTTCAAACCACCCTCCTATGTGTCCCAAGCTCGTTAGGGCCGCCAAGCTGCGCCTGCCCCTCAGCAGCTCAGGGGACCTTCCTTTCTTCTGTGTTGTCTCTCTTATGATCGAGCATAAGCCTAAGAAAATTTCCCAAGATATATCTCTAGAGGTTCCTCTTGATTTCTATCTTGGGGAACCCAAAAACCCCAAGCGACAGTCACATTTTAAAGAGGGAACTTAGATAATCACAAGAAAAAAAAGTAAGCAGTTGAAAACAAATTTCGTGTTTCAGGATCATCAGAAATAGAGAAACAAAGGTCTGCACCATCTAAATACATGAACTTTAGAAGGAAAAGCAGACACAGAACTGAGCCAAGACAGAGCGTTTACCTGAGAAGCAGCCATATTGTCCTCTTCCTCCTCCTCCTCTGGGTTGTTTTCTCAGGCGACTTTATGTTGACCAATCACACCTGCATGTTGAGGATATGTCTTGTTGTCACCACACTCACAGGCAGAAGAACTTGAATGATGAAAAATTTCACACTCCCCTGCCCTTTGACACAGGAGAGATTAAGAAACAATGAGATGCTACATGAAGACCAACCTATTTTTCTCTCCTGTCTTCCCTTGCTCTTCCCTCCGAGAGACATGCCCAAATTCCAACCCAGCAATGAGAAAGTAGGCTGCACTTCTGTTCCTCCCAAACCCAAGAGAGGACCCTGGACCAAAGCCCATTGTCAACTCTCAAAAATGCACTGGGGCAGGGAGCCCTTCTGCTCAACACTGGCCACACTTTTGAATCTCCTGGAGCACCACACTAAAATGACAACGATGTTCTACCCAGAGCAGTTGTTCAACTCTGAGGGGGAAGGCACAGGCACTGTTATCTCTTACAACTCGTCAGGTGGTCTAATGGAAGGGGACCATCTAGCTAAGCATTTCTTCTACAGCTTTAATGTGCATACAGAACCGTGGGGATCAAGGTTTCACTCTAAAAAGTTATGATTCTGTAGAGCTGCAGTGAGGCCCATGAAATAGCATCTTTACTTAGTGCTCTGGTGGAGGTGACTGCTTTAGGTAGCAGTGGGCTAGAGATACTAGACCAGCCGTGGGCAAACTACGGCCCGCGGGCCGGATCCGGACTGTTTGAAATGAATAAAACTAAAAAAAAAAAGACCATACACTTTTATGTAATGATGTTTACTTTGAATTTATATTAGTTCACACAAACACTCCATCCATGCTTTTGTTCCGGCCCTCCGGTCCAGTTTAAGAACCCATTGTGGCCCTCGAGTCAAAAAGTTTGCCCACCCCTGTACTAGACCCAACACACCTGAGCCCTGTGCGTAGTGTGAAGGGTTGGGGTAGGAACTTCTAGAGGGCAGGCTCCCAGCGTGCATCCCTAGAGATGGGGTTGTCCTGGAATGGGTTTGGCCAGGCCTGTAGCTACTGTGCAGATGCAACAGATTTAATTAAAAAAAAAAGCAACAGGGTTCTGCAAGAATCCTGCCCTCAAAACCCTTCCAAAATGCCACTCAGCCCCCAGTTCTTTGCCCACACCCCTCCCATGGGACACGTCATATAACAGGACAATCTCCCTCATCCCCTGTCCATAGGTGAATGGAGCCTCAATCCCTAAAGGACAAGGGGTAGAAAAGTGTTTCCATCACAGCTGTATTTGCAAATGAACTAAAGGAGCATACTCTAGAAGCCTGTCAAGACATGAGATTGTATCACATTCATGTTCACTTTCTCTAACTGTACCCCCAAACATATTTTAATCGTTGCTCTTGTCAATGTAAGAACACTTCACATGAGATCTACTGTTTTAATTTTTTAATATATATTTTTATTGATTTCAGAGAGGAAGGGACAGGAAGAAAGAGATAGAAACATCAATGATAAGAGAGACTCCCTCCTGTAGGCTTACACTGGGGATCGAGACGGCAACCTAGGCATGTGCTCTGAACCACTATCTCCTGGTTCATAGGTCGACACTCAACTACTAAGCAACACTGGCCAGGCTTAATAAAATTTTAAGTGTACAATACAATAGTGTTAACGGGCAAAACGTTATTCATCTTTGATAAATCAAAATCTGTATCCCTGAATAGCAACTCCCATTTCCACTCTCCTCTGCCTGTGGCAACGCTAATCTTTCCTCTAATCTTTGTTCCTATGGGTTTGACTCTATTGTGAGAATTCTGAACCTGTATTTATACCGTATTTATACATTAAAAGTGCTTTCTATGACATATAAGGTTAGTAGTCATATTCTTAAATTTGAGGAAGAAAATATGATTAAAATAAACTCTAAATTTATAGTTTAACAAACATAATTATTATGAAAGAAACAGAAAACAAATTCCTGAAACACAACAGATTGACTATAATAAAGCCTTAAAGCCGTTCTAAATCTTCATGTGGAAATTTATGCTTTTAACTACAGAGAAGCAAATCCATAGGCCCAAGTCATTATTTCTCATTAACATTGTTTTTGGAAATAAAAAATTAGTACCTTTTCCCTCTATGCATATCTCTGTGACCAGATTTCCCCTGTTAATAAGGACAACAGGAATATTGGAGGAGGGCCCACTGTTAATGTCTTTAATTTAAGTTGATTATTTTTTTTAAGGATCCTTTGTTTATTTTTTTTTAAATATATTTTATTGATTTTTTACAGAGAGGAAGGGAGAGAGACAGAGAGCCAGAAACATCGATCAGCTGCCTCCTGCACATCTCCTACTGGGGATGTGCCCGCAACCCAGGCATATGCCCTTGACCGGAATCGAACCCGGGACCCTTCAGTCCGCAGGCCAACGCTCTATCCACTGAGCCAAACCGGCTTCAGCTGGGATCCTTTGTTTAAATAGGGTAATATCCCAAGGCAGTGGATAAGATTTCAACATATTATTTTTGAGAGACCCAATTGAACCCTTACATGGTAAATTTACGTGGGTGGGTGTGTAAGTGTGTGTGTGTATATATCTATGAAATTTTATCACACAGGTAGGTTTGTTTAAATCAGGGACCACAAACCAGATCCTTAACTTGACACCCCTCCTGACAACTCCCATCCCTAACCCAGTGCAACCTTTAATCTGTTCTCTATACTGATCTGGTTGGATTTATTTTTGATAACTTTATAATTTTCAAATAATTAATCATTAAATCACAAATTTGAGTTAACCCAATCTTTTATTTAACTGAATACACACTTACCATAAATAGTTCTATTTCAACAAATAGTCAATATTTAAAGAAACTTATGTAAGGTATTTCACATCCTTTTCCCCCTACTGTGTTCTGAAGAATCAGTATGTATCTTCCACTAACAGCACATCTCAACTGAGACTGGCTACAGTTCACACGCACAACAGCCTCAGGAGGAGTCTGGCTGCCATATTGGATGGGCCAGCACTACAGTATCAACATGAAAGTATTTTATGCAATATGAGGGCAGACTGTGCCCTGTAATACTCAACCTTTTCATTTCTTTGATGCTTTCCTTGAGGTTAAGTATAAAATCACCTATGTAACTGAGCATGGTCTAAGGAAAAGAATTTTTTGTTTGTAGGATCAGAGTCAAGTGGGTGTGTATATACACTCCCAACCTTATGTCATGGTGTTATTCAGTCTTTTTGTCCTTGTTGTATTTGTCTAAAGATCTGCCAAGTTCTGAGAGAGGAATTAAAAAAATTCTAACTTTCACTCTAGATATACGTTTCTCAATTTCTCCTTACATTTCCAATCATTATGTCATTCATCTTTAGCTTTGTCACTAGTACTTACATTTATGACTACTACGCATTCACTCATTCAAGTTTTATTTACCATCTCTTTGGTGCCTCGCATTGGAGACACAGAACAGAACAAGACAAAGGCCTTGCACATGTGGGACCTTAATCAGGAGACAGACAATAAATATATAAACAAATAAACAGAAAAATATCTTGAGTCTAGAGAAGCCCAACGAAGACAAGTTAAAACAGCGTGGAAAACTCAGTGAAGGTTGGGAACAATGTAATAGTCACGGCAAAGGCCCTAAAGCAGAAACCTTCCTATGTGTTTAAAGAACAGCGAGGAGGCCCCTGTGCCTGCAGCTGATGCAGGGAGTGGGAGAGAGCAGGAGATGGAGTGTAGAAGGAGCAAAGGGAGCCTGATCTGTGGGCTCCAATGGGCCATCTTAGCTTCATACACTGCATGTTTTATTATCTATCCATTCATTGAAATATTTCATGAAACTATTAGAATATTATTTAATGAGCTCTAACTAATAGGTTCTGACAATGAATTAGACATATAAGGTTCTTGTCACTCCTATAACTCTCACAGGATATTAAGAAGAGGAATAAACAATTTGATAGAAAACCAATAGAAACACATTTTTCCAATTACAAAATAAAATGCAATCTTCCTAAGGGCCAGGCTGTTCTAAGCTCTTTCTGCAGAGTCATTAATTCTTGTGACAACATTACGTGGTGATGATTGTGCCCATTTTACCAATGTGGAGCCTAAGCCACAGTGCGCCAGGAATACTCCCGAGGTTACACAACCAGCACCAGGCAGGCCTTTCTTTCCTTCCCTGTCCTAGCACTTCTCCTCAGTCACCACCTACCTCTCTCCTCTCAGACTGTTCCTCCCTACGACCCCCCCAAAAAAACCCAGGGTCTGATGGAACACAGCCCTTACAATTCCTCAGGCCCCTCTGCTCCTGCTGCTAGTACCTGCTTGATGCCTGCACTGGTGAAGGAAGACGTAGAGGGGTCCCAGGCACCCAATGCTGCCTTATGGCTGGCTACCTCCTGCGGCTCGTGGGCACTAACTTGTCTTGGTGAGTTCCTCATTAAACTGAGGACCCTGGACACTGTTGAAGGGACAGTGGAATGAGAGGGCTGTAAGCAGGGGAGGGTAGGTCAGCTCTGGATACAGGAAGACCCCTTTAGAACCATGAGAGGGGGACAGACTGGATGATAGAAACTGGAGACCAAAGAAGAGGCTAGAAGAAGGCTGAGGGACAGAGGACAGAAGCTGAACCACCTCAAACCATGGAGATGGAAAGGAGAGAATGGGTCAATTCAGGGGTCTGAAACCAAGAGAAAGAGGGATAGAGAATGGGTGTGGGCACTTGTTGGCACAGAGGACCATGGGTCTTCTCCAGTGATTAGAGTGGACAGAGGGGAAGCTGGGAAAAGAGGAAGATTAGAAAAGACAGTGAGCTCAGTGGGAACTGTGAGTGTGAAGGGCCATAAGGGAGATATTTGGGCCCAACAGTCTAATAGCCAGGATCCTTTCTTTAAATAGGGTAATATCACAGGGTGTGGTCTCATGGATCATGGGGAGGGGAACCCTATGCAAAGCCCTTTAAAAATGAAAATGCTCAGGGTGTTCCAGTAACTTTGGTCAGACTGGGATGGGTGTGGGAGAAGTTTTGAAAAATGCCACTGGAAAACCAAGGCCTCAAACACCAGGCAAGGGTGCCGGGACTTCCTACTCAGGTCAGCATCATCATGGGACGCCTGTGATGGAAGAAAGAACCTGGGAACAGGTGTG